ATAAGAAATATTAAAAAAAAAAATAAAAATAAAAAAAATAAAATTAATTTAAATGGCAAATAACTTTGGTATAAAAGCTAATTGGGTAAAGATTTTTAAAGATTTGACGTGGTTTAATGTCCGGGGGGGTTTGGGGGGGGGGGGAAGGGGGGGGCCCCCCCCCCCCCCCCGAGATGCCCTGTGGTTTTCTAATACAGCTGGTATTCTGCAAAAAAAAAAACTATGTGGTTTATTGGTGTTGAAGTAGAGCGAGAGACGAGTGCACCCCATCCTAAAAAAAATCCTGGATCCGCCCCTGAATGTATTGACGAGACTGTGGCTTTTGTTGGCCTTGTAACCCGGAATAGGATTTTAGCCAAAACATCCAAACCTTAAGCCAACTTATCATACAACACTTTTCAGGGTTGGATCGTTTAGGGGGGGGTTAACATTTCTCATCATTTTGAAATGTTGGGCAAGATATTTGATTTAAATCAAAACTCATTCGTCCAACAAAAAAAAGTGTTATCGCACAAACCTGACAGCTTCATTCTAACATTATTGGACCATTTCGTTAGTTTTATCATTTTTGCGCAAAAACATTTTCAAATGTCTTTCGGGAGTTTAAGGTAAAGGATAAAATAATAATATACGGCACTATTGTAATACTGGAATTAAAGAAAGTTGAAAATGTAATTGCTATATTTTTTTAGAACAGAAAGATAATTTGTTGTTTATCAACTCGTGTGTCAGTTTTGTCAAATTACACTCCCTATATTTTTGTTAGTTCAGATATTGGGGCATTTTTTAAAAGGCAAAATTATTTTATCGCACAGAATAACTGCACTCGCCTTAGTTAAAAGTTTAACTCGATTGATGTCATGACATGGTTCGTAACAGTGCATGTAGGGTATATTCCATGGCGTGGTTCCTGTTCAGCGTGCTGAAATCTCTATGAATCTACCTCATCAATAAAGAAGAAAACTAACAAATCGCAAAAAAAATTGGTAATAAAATACCGCCTTTCCTCTTTTATTAAATTTTACTCATTTTTATGTCAGATCCGGTCCTTGCTGTCGTCTCGAATTTCATTCTCGTGAAAAGACTAGAAATCGTACGTCCGTAAGAACGTCAAATTTACTTGTTTAGGCTCCCAATATCTTTTGTCAAAAGGATAATGTAGCTTAACCGGAAAAGAAAAAAAAGCTTTCTGTTTAATGTCAGACTGCTTGTCTTTCTTGAATTTGCCTCTAGGGTTGATTAGGGCTTTCAAAATCTTTCATTGAAGCTAAAACACGCCAATGTAGCCTTTAGAGTTATCAGTCATTTTGGCTAAACATTGTTGCGTCTACGAGTGAGTGGAATAAAAAAAGGAGGTTTTGTGAGCCTGTACACAGACGTTGTTTTGTTTTTCTTTTCGTTCTTGAAGAGAAAATAGAGGATCCGTGAACAGGCTAGTGAGAACAATACGTTTACAAGATCAATTGTAACAAAAGTTCTATTTTTTCTCCCCCGTTGCAACTTTCTGGACAAATTCGCGCGGCAACGCTTGCTTTAGGGGGTAAGAAAATTACCACCGTAAAATTTCACCAGTTGTACGAGCTTTTTGTATTACACTCTACTCTCTATAATATTCATCTTCTCGTCCAAGATGAGTAATTCATTTTTCGGTATCAAGTAAAAACCGCCAATCAAATTTCAAGTTGGCGTTTAGAGTTTTAGCTGTTCGTAGGGCCAAGGCTCAACGATTGCGGTGAGGGTAAAAGGCGGAATGAGTTTTCGGAATGGCATGTGACACGGCTTGCAGAATGACATAATTATGCGGAATGTAAAACATAGAAAATGGCGCAAAGAAATAAATAATACTGAAAAGCATGCGCGCGTCTTTGCCGCGCCTTTTTTTGGCGCCAATTTGAGTGAGCGACTGCTCTGCTGGTCCATTTATTACTGCAGGCTCAAACAAACGAGGCAGAACAGAAAGTAGCGATAAGTTTTACTGCATTCATGTCTATGTAATACTTAATTAATACTTAATTTATTTTTGGTGTTTTCGACAATATTTATTCTCCTTCTGCCCACCATTATAATATAGTCAAATGTCAAAACGCTAGAGAGAAAAGAACGCTTGTTGAACGTGATTTGAGACTAAATGAACGCCCCGAGTCAAACAAATCTGTAATTCAGAAATTGAGTGAAGCGAGCTGCTCTCTGTCTCCTTTTGGCCTTTCCGAGTGTATTCGCACCTTCCTTGTTTATGACAGTGTGAGCTTTTGATCGTAAAAAAACGCTAAAACGGTAGGAAGAGAAAGAAAAACGAGAGAAAAAGACACACACTCAATTGCCAGGATTCGAACTCGCCCTTCTCCGCCAGCTGTTAGCTTCGCGTGCCGGAAACCTAACCACGCAGCCAAGGAAACAAAATACAAGATCCGTTTCATCTCTGAATATTGT